TTTGCGATGATCGTGGGCAACCCCGATGGTACCGAGAGGAGGGATGATGGGCGCGTGGCAGTGTTGGGGGTGAGGAATTGGTGGGCCGGTTGGCTTGGGAGGGGGAGAAGGAGAGAGAGGGGGGATGAGGGGTTTGATTTTTGATTTTTGATTTTTGATTTTTTTTTTTTGATTCTGATTTTGGGATATGTGGGTGTTTGGATTTGTGGATTTGTTGGGTGGGCGTTACTTTCTTTGGATGGGATGGGATTTGCATTGGGGTGGCTTGAGGTAGTTAGATTTCTTGTTGATACATGATACAACAGAGCTCGTTCAGTAAGCTTCTTCCCATCCATCGTCATTATATTCCAAAAGTAAAAGCGTAAAAAACAACAGCGTAATAATAACAGCTAAACCAAAAGAACCCCCCCCCCCCCCCCCCTTCTCACTTTTTTCTTTATTCAAAAAACGCAACTATTCATCTCAATTTTCGCCAGCGTACATAACAGCGGCGGGTTATCGCCCTCACTCCCCGGAACCAATCATTCTATCTCCTTCCACGCCCCGTCCTCTCCCGCCCCCTAGCCCGAACCCCCCCGCCTCCAAGCCGCCCCCCCTTCGCAACCCCCCTCTTCGCAACCCTCCCACTCTCCCCCCTAACCTTCTCAACCCCCAACCCCCTCCTCCGACCGCCCGCCCCACCCCCACCCCCTCCACCACCACCCCCACCCCCCTTCACCTCCCGCCCAACCGCCTTCGCAATTTCCACCCCATCCCCCCCACCACCACCATCTTCATCGAATCATCATCAACATCCATCTCATACCCACGACCTCTCTTCTTCTACTGTCAAACCTTCACCCGACCCTGCTGGCCCCTCCTCACCGCCCCCCGTCCGCTCTCATTCGCAAAATACGCATAGATGCAGATGGCGCGATCGCTCTCTCCTACTAACCGTCAGTGCAAGCCATTTTCAACATCCCCATCTTACCAATCATAGATTCCTAAGAACCGTCGTGCTAACTGCGAGGCGCGTGAGAAAGGCGTCGCGGACTTCCCTTCACGGACAGCGCTCGCTACGAGCATATACGACAGAATGTTAGCCAGATGTCACTGTCGAG